GGCAATTCTCAAGCGATGTGTAGCCCTGGAGACCAATCGGGAACATTGAGCTTGTCCCGGATGGGGCAGTGGCCCCATCAGTGAGGAAGAAACCTGGAGAGGGAATCTGCAAATGATGTGTTGGTCGACGCGGGATCTCACGTTAAAAGGCGATGTAACATCTTCTACCTTCCTCTACTCTTTTGCAGTTAAAGACTTAGTTTTTATAGCCGGAAATCAGTACTCGCTTTAGATACTTGTGATACCACAGAAGTCTTTTGTCACCTTTCAGCCTTGGGAAGAGGGGGTGAGGGTGGTTTGGCGTGGAGACCAAACCGGGGCTGGCAGGTTGGAGCTTCTTTCGGATGGGACGGTGCCTCGCTGATGGAGAAACCTGGAGGAGGAACATCCACAACCAAAATGTATGTCGGCGCGGGATCTCACCTTTAAATGGAGGCTGGAATATCGCATTTCCTCTACATTTTCGGGACTAAAGTCTTGCTGAAATTAATTCGAGAAGGAAGAAACACTCGTTCGTAGATTCTTTTAGGTGCTATGGTGTTGAAGGGAGGAAACAACAAGAAAGGACGATCGGAACAGTCGACCTCAACAATACTCCGGCTCCATCGAGACTCGAAGCCAGGTTCTGGGCTAAGGCGACTTAGTTGCGGACTCACGACGTTACATGCTCATGTACTTCCTTAAAACCATGTTCTGTAGTATCAAATATTTTGAAGCAGCTGTTATTTTTGGTGCCGTTGGATGGCAGTTTGCGAAGAGTTCAGCGAGGTAGGGCCCAGACTCAGCATTTCTAAATGGTGGTGGAACTAGAACCGGGAAGAGTTGGTAGGAACTTTTGACTAGGAAATCTCTGAGAAGCTTCAGCTGAGGATAGAAACTTTACATGTGAATGCGCTCGATGTTCCACATTACCTTTTAGAAGTTGTGAAGTAACTGTTGCATTTGGTTGAGGAAGGTTTCCCTGGAATATAGCTAGTTCTTTCTGGCCGGAAGTTTCCAGAGTTTAGCAAGGTGTGCCACAGGGACAGCATTTCTAAATAATGTTAGGACTAGACTTAGGGCTAATATCTGATAATGTTAGGGCTAGTATCTACGATTTCGTGGTGTTCGAAACGTCAGCTTCGGTCTGGATACTTCACCACTACTCACAGAACTACATTGTACATATATGATGACTCACTTTCGATTTACATAGTGTTAATTAACATAGGCACATGCTAATTCTCTCTAGCAGGAAGTTTGCAAATGGATCAGTGCAGTGCGAACATTTCTTCCTGTCACGTCTATAGAGGAGTTGCTTTAAGAAGGGACAGTTTGACAGGTCGGGAAACAAATGAATGTCATGTAGAGCAATAGCATTGAAAGAGATAATGTTCATTTACTAATGAACTGACGCATTGGCGAATTGGGAACATGGACAAAACTCACAGTTATGTTGTCAACAGTATCCAAGTAGTAACTGTCAAAGCGGCCCCTAGTTATAGAAAATTCTCGTTAGAACCCTTTGCCTAGGACCTCCTGGTCTACGTAACTTTAGCATGCAGACAGCTTCTCTTAGAAGCTTGAGTGACAGGCCCGCAACTGTATACGTTAACACACGCGGTAAGAAACAACTTGACGGGATGCTAATTTGCAGGCACGGAGAAATTAACACGTCAATTCGCGATGCCATTCGCGTGAATTGCCGCCTCGCATGTTGCCCAAGGCGCGGAGGAGTGGACGCCGAGGTATTGTACAGCCTTCCCGCGCGCAGAGGGCCCTTGTCAAGCGTTGCAATGCGTCTTCCTCTGCGCCAATCCCAAGTGACGTCTGAATGGGAATGTCAGTTGCGTGCCAGGATTTAATGTACGCCCATCCGTCACATTCTGATCTGTTTGTTCCTTGGAGGTTTTGACAAATTTACTACCTGTGCTGGGCACACGTTTGAGACTATGCGTGTGGAGAAATTTTGCTCCGTTCTGTATTTGCGCTGTGCTGTCGTTTGTAAGAAAATTGGTGCTGTTTAACTCCACTTAGTTTATGTACCGAGTGTTAATGCACGAGATACTAAGTAAACTAATAATAAAAAGGTTAGGGAAGGAATTTACTCGGGATGTTCTGAAACGAGTATTATTTGAATTAACTATCAGGACCACAAAAATATTCTCTATTTGTTTTGTTGTGAATGTCTCACTTTTAAAATTTGTTTACCAGTTTTATTTGTACTTCAATTTAACGAATTTTGGATCTTAAAGCTCAATAACGTTTACTTTTAGATACTAATTACTCATGCTTGACAAAATTGATAAGAGAAAGGTATGAGAGAAGTAACCGATGGGGGAGGGGGAATAATGTCCTTTATAGCATCTCATAAAGATTTAGCTGACGTTTTTCTCTAATTGGGTCTGGAGTGACGAAGATTGGTATGCGCAGCAAGCATTGTATAAGAATATAAACATGAAATGCTTGTGTGAATAATTGACCGGTGTTTGTCATTTTAATTGAACGAGCAGTGTAATAAGATTGTTCAGCGCTTCACAAACTTAACAGCGCTTCAGAACCTTAACTTTCGTGTTGCTGTCAATGCTCAATAATACATTGAATCCTATTTTATGTAGATAAGAATCGTTGAGAACCTAGAGCGATTTACCATGTATTTTTGACTATAATGTGCATCATTTATATAAGTGTGTAAAAAAAGATAGATCTTCATGGGAGACCGCGTGTATTCGTGTATAAATTGAGCATTCTTAAAATCATGAACCGTATATGAATACGTATTCAACAGTAAAATTATATCAACTTATTTTTGATTTGAAATTTAACTCGCCATTACTTAGCATGTGTACGATAATTATGGTGTATGGGTTCTCGCATACGCAGCTACTACTTTAAATAATCCACTCTTAATAGAGACGGTTTAAATACGTGATTGCCAGCAGATGTATGTATGTATTTGGCATTTTGTCCGATTTTCCCGGCTAGCTATCTGTGTCGCCGTTCCTGATCCTAGTTGTTTCCTACGCTTTAGGGTAGCGGATAAGAGAACATTCAATCTTGTTATTATAAGCGCACGTTTTCTCGAACCCCGGAATATCTAACCCCACTCCTTTTCTAACATTGGTTGAATGAAGAATAAATGATAGAAACTAGCGTTGTTGACAAAAGCCGGTTACCAGAAATGTTCGCTCCTGTATAGTAGAAACTATTTTGCACCGAAAAACGAACTACATATACGAGTATGACATAGGTTATTTTGACAAAATAATTTTAGCTCCTCACTCCCCTCGCAATTAGCGAAACGATGGCTCAAGAAAACGTGCGCGGATATTAATATATTTCCGTAATCTCGTCATATTTATTACTATGATGATGAATTCCATCTTTTATTCTGTGATGCGTCAAAAATTGTGAATGCTTGAAAAAATTGTAAAGGTCGAGGGCAGATGTCGTTTCAGATTAAATTATGTTGTAAGGCAAATTGTTTCATTTCCCAACTACATATACAAAGAATCTACTACAAACTACTACATTTCAGTAGCGTTTATTTTCTAGTTTTAGTGATCTCTCCCTAGACAAATTAGAAGGTTGAGGGCCAGATAGACGGTAGGGTACGGAATTTGGCCAAAATGTGGCGAAGAACTACCTGATTCAAATCCCGTCATCCATTTCTTCGCGTTTTATATTTTCGATGTTAGGTTACGCTATACGATATACTCGCAGTAACGCATACGATACATGCGCTATTCGATACACTCGCAGATTGTCGCAAAACTCCTCGGTCGTTTCAGAGCACTCGCAGTAACTTAGCAAAAGCCCATTTGCTTCCGTCGAGAGCTCAGCACAAATAGAGGGGAAGCAGAAACGGCCCTCCCTCGCCTGCAGAGAAGCGGAAAGCTCTTGGCGGTACGAGCCCCATAAAAAGGGTGGAAGCATCGGATGTATTTGCGACAAAACAACCTCGAGAGGCGGTACACCCACGCACTATACAACCCCGGTTCTCACTATGCAATCGGGCAGAATGAACCTGTTCTAGGTACATTTCTTTGGTAAAATTATTAATTATTTATCTTTCAGTGGCGGATAGTGAGGAGATGAATTTTTATATGTCGGTATATTATTATTTATCGTTCTTCATATATATTTTTTTCTTGAAATGAGGGACCCGGTGATTAGAGGGAACTAACTCACAAAATCCAAAATATCGATTTGTGAACATATTAGATTATGAACTCATTCAATATGTCAATAAATTGATGTTTTGAATTTTGTGGGTTAGCTCCCTCTCTCACTGTACGCCTCAATTTTATTTTAGTTTCTTTATTTACTCGAAACAGCTTGTACGATTTCTTGATTTTAAATTGCCCACGATCCTTTAGGTTCATTGTCTCTTATGCTGTATAGTGGTTACGGCTAGCTACCTCACGTCGAAATGCAGAGCCAACCGAATCGCTTCCCTCTAAGCGAAAAACTTCTGGTGTAAAAGTGGATAAGCAGTGATGATAATAATAATGATAATAATAATAATAATAATAATAATAATAATAATAATGAAGTACGTCTATCGTGTGATTTTGAAAGTGATGACACTGATTAGTATTCATTTTGTGAGTAATTAGCATGTTGTCTTTAATGAAAATAAATTATTTTATTAAACATTTTATGTGAAGTGTCCTCTTCTTTTCATAAAAATGTCACCTTTACCCATAATGAAAATATGTTAACCCTGTACCCCCCAACTATTTCGTGATAGCAACTAAGGGGTGGAGCGTAGGCGATCCCTTGCATCACTCCACGCGTGCCAATACAATGAAAATTATTTAAGCATGCAGTAGCTCGCTATCGAGAAGGGTCAAAAGGACAACCACCAATTTCTAGAATTGTATAAAACCAGATAGTGCCCCCTGCCTCTTTTACCCGGCAGAACGAATGTCCACATTTCTCGGCGTGGGCTTATCGGAGGTCAGGGAGGGCACATAATACCGGGCAAATAAAAGAAGTTCTCTTTTTTCTACTGCAAGATTCCATCCGTAATGCTTTCTGTGCGGTAGGATACGTCTGCGCGTCCACAGGTCAGTCCATGGTAGGCATGAGGCTAATTCACGCGAGATGGACGATTCTCCCTATTTTTTTACATGTGTTTTTCTTTCATTCTATTTTTGTTAGTTACGTATTTCATATAATTTCATAAAATATAATAATATGTAATATGAGTCGTGACAGTGTAGCAGTTAGGACACACGGGTGCTAATCTGAGGTCCGGGGTTCACGTCCTAGTATAGCTGAGGATTTTTATCTCGTTATGATGCGGCCCTAACGTTCACTCTGCTTTCTTTCCATATGAGTACCAATATATATATATATATATATATATATATATATATATATATAATTTCTTTAAAGTTTAATTTTTGTATTTTGGGCTCAACTTCCACCCAGCGTACGCATATTTGATCTATTATTATTATTATTATTATTATTTCCACCATTAGCAGTTTGTGTAAATAAAAAGCGAATTTTCTGATCAGTTGTTTGTGGGATATCCCTGGTTATTTGCAGATGAGTTCCGGAGCAGCGCTTTATACAAAGAGTCACGGACCGCGGGTTATCATTCTTTCCCACTCTCTTCCCATCTTTACCATCATCATCAGGCCAACATCTCCCCCACTCCACACTAAGTTGCTGATGGAACCTGTGATTTCTGTCGTGACTGACAAAAGCTGGACGGGTGAGGGCTTGCGCGCCATGCAATTGCACGGAATTGGCAAGGAATTTTAGTAGACACGAGTCCAACTCCATCTTCACATTTGAAGCGAATATGAAGGCAAGAAATAAGCTATGAAATGGAGACTTTAATTTGCAACCAGAGTAGAATTATAATATGTACTAATTTAAAAACGGTAAATATTTTCAATGTATTACGAAACAGTGACAGAGCTATTAGATATCAGTATGTCGATGATCTGAAAGCAAATACTGGATTTTCGAGAAGAAAATGGGTCCTCTTTGGAAATGATATTTTGTAATATTTTCTGTATATAGCGAAACAGTGACACAACTATTCGGCATCATTACGCCGATAAGCCGAAAGAAAATGCCGATATTCGCGGCGGCGGTGGTGTAACGGTTAGCGTACTCTACTGTTGTACCCAAGTTGGCGGGGTCAAACCCGATCGAAGCCGTGGATTTTTAAGGGCGAAAAAATCCTTCGTACGCCTTCCTTCGGAGGGGAAGTAAAGTCGTAGATTTATTTGCATGTAAAAGATCCTCAAGCCTAAATGACGCCTCTGAGCTAAATTCAAATCACCTGTTTCTCGCCCGAGAAATACCTTCTTTCTCTGCTAGTTGGTGAAAAGAACGTAGCGAAAATTTGCGTGGTCAGACGGAAGAGCAGGCCTGATGGCCCGAGTCTCGCCACGTAAAATAAAGCCTATTCAATTCAATTCAATTTAATTCGTATTACAAGAGGAAAAAATGTGTGTGGTCGCCGTCCCGAGGGCAATGCGACTTGAGTGAGAACGCGGCGAGAGTTGGTGTGCCCCAAGGTTCTCACGCGCGGAGCTGTCGCCGCCGCCGCCGTCCACTTTTCTTTTACGGCGTCCACTGCGCTTCGCGACTGTTTTATGGCCGTTGACGACGGCCGCCGGCAGTAAATGGCCGCCGGGGAGGGGGGAGGGGATCGTGAGACAAACTTGCACTTACTGTTTTTCTTGTTTTTTTTTATTTGTTGTTTTGTTTTGTTTTCTCTCACGTATGATTCCCGAGACGGCTGGCAGGAAGGTCACAGATCCCTGGATCATATGATTCGTCCTGTGATGGTGCTTGCTCAACTTATTCGAGCACGACGATATACGTACTTTATTATTATTATTATTATTATTATTATTATTATTATTATTATTATTATTTGACTTGAGAATCCCTTAGATGCGTCAAGGTATCTGAGCACAGCTCTGTGAATTTCTGAGATGTTCCTGAAGACATTTTAGCGTTTCATCGGCTATTTATACCGTCTTGGTCGATTATCCCAAATATGAAATATCGCAACATAAAGATAAAAATTATTTTAATTTTTGCGTGGTATTTACAAACTCGTGTGTCACACTCACAGTTCATCATTGTAGGCATTTTAGGCGGATTTAACGTTGTCGCCGTGTACAATCATTGCGTTGCCTATTTCTCCTACTTTATTCATCAGTAGGGAACTTCAATATACGCAAGAGGATGTTACTGATGTCTTAATCTCTTGAGAACCCGTACGATCGAATGATTTCATTGTGATGTGTTTTAGTTAAGAATTATTTTACAAATACGCATGCTTTGCATATCATTTGTACACTTCATCTGCTCTTGAATCCAACGAATTCCCCCTTAATTAACCCACATTCAGAGGGAAACGGTCAGTATGCTGTTTTAACCGTTTGGGCAAATGGTCATGATGATTTACCGACCTTTTGTCATTGCAGTCTGAGGCACGGGGTCGCTCTTCGAAAATTAGCCGGACATGAGATTTCTTACGCTAGACTTTAATGCTCAAGCTATTTGAAATTACATGTAAACAACATATGTTGAAGACGTGAAATTGTGGTCTCTTGTGTCGACCCCAACAAGCGAAGATGACCAGTCACTGATGTATTTGTGTTGTACGTTTTGATTTCCCCGTCGAGATTGCTCGTAGTTTCGTATGGGAGAGATTATTTTCCGGGATATTTTTGTTTTACAACTTTTATGCATTTTTCATATTAATTTACTTGCAGTCACCCTTCCGTCAGTGTTTCGTATGTGAATGATGTAATACCTAGAGTGGACCTCGAAAATATTATTTCTTAGTTTTATTAATTTTTTTTAAATTTTGAGATAACTGTTTATGAATTTCTGATTTTATCATAAATTGGAACTATGATATGCAATCTCTCTTTTCTTTCTTGTTTTATTTACGTTCATGAATCCATAAATAAATTTCATAGATGTCTCTTACATGGCCGTCAGAGCTAGTGATCTTTCTAGAAGCATGAGCAATTTCGTCAAGATTTAGTGACGTTCCGAAATAGTGGGCGGCTTTCGAAGCCAACGTCAGTTTATCCATTTTACGTATTCTGTTTTGATGTTTCTATTTCGATTTGACGTTTCAGACAAATCTCGTTGCTTGCAAAATCTATCTAAATGTAAATAGAATTGTGATTCGTGCGTTGGAAACCGTTCGGGTCGATGGCTGTTTTTGCGAGCTCGCCCTGTTTGCCCTTTGCAAGGTGTTACCCATTGTGCAAGTTCTTATACCGCACCTCCCGCCTCTGTGATGCAAATGAGAAAAACAAACTATCAATCTCAAAAAAACAATCACCGCAACTGGCTTTCACCAATTTTGTCGAGCAGTGTATTTGTCCTCCGATGAGAAAAACAAATATTGGACTTTCCTTTTTGTTGTGGTTATGTGATGGTATGGGAAGCAGCCAGAGATATACATGTATGGTGGAAAAAGTTTGGAAGTGTTATCTTAACAAATTTTTAAATCATTTTATCATTATTATTATTATTATTATTATTATTATTATTATTATTATTATTATTATTATTATTATTATTGCATTTTTATTAACTGCCGCCTGGTCATACCTAATTGCAATTTAAATAAATGTATGAAGGTATTTCACGACGACACTTTAATTTTTTCATGTTTTTCATATGCTTTATTTTATTTTTACTTGTTAACTTACTTTGAAGGAAGAGCTTTACACTTTACGCTTGCAATTTGATCCTCCAATTATTTGTAATATGACAGATGACACTGAAGCTGTTTATATACATTGGGCTACCTTCGGACTTACAACCGCAACAATCCACGTTTGGCCTTTTTTCAGAGACCACTGGCTAAATGAAGCTATAAAGTAGTGCCCGAACAAATGTCTCACTGGATTTGCAGTGATATGCTAGAACATTTACAGCTTCCAACCCTCTCGGAAGCGCTGTCGAACGAGACAAGACGTTATCGGCCAGTTGGTTCGGTTTACATTGTTCACTAGCATTTGCGGACGTATGTCCCACAAAAAAACCGTTTTTCCATTACGATTCATTTACCAAAACCAACATGGAGACTCATGTCCGGCCATAACAGTTCAATATTTTTCGCTCCGATCTGAATTTATAATTATCATCAGAATGTAGGTTTGTTATAATTGACTCTCGTTCTGCTAAAAAAAATTGCGGTCAAAAATTGTTGCGGGTGAAAAAAAAAATTGTGAGCCAAATTGCATTCTTTAATCCCTTGAAATAATTAATGACGACACACATATAATTATTTCATTGTAAAAAACAACGAAAACTCACCACAATACTTATACTTTAATCCCTTGTTTGAATGATATTTAAGTGACAGGTATTCGCCGGTAGGACCATAGCTCTGGCTCATGCAAGTGGAGCATTGTAAATAAAATGGGTACTGAAAAGCTCGTTTGTTGAGTTTTTGTGACAAGCCAATTATGTGACAACAAAAAATAATTATGTTGCCGCCCCAACATAAATGCGCTCTAATTGACCTAGGCGTACACAGCTAAAATAAGTCAGCGTGCATTTAAACCGAGTTTTAACAACGATTGGTGTATGTAACTGTTTCTAGTAATTAAATAAAACAAAGACAATGGGACAGAAATTATAACCGTTTTGTACAAGTAATAAATACAATTGATTTTGTGTTAAAACATTGATGCGATTGCCACATGAAATGAAATGCCTCTCCCCCCAAAGCCATATCACAATTTCGCAAGTACGTTGAAAAGAAAAATCTGGGATTGAACATATTTAAGGAAATTACATGTTCTATTACGTAAGGTTACGACTCTCAGAATTTTCAGGAGCCACGACTCCCCTCCCCCTCGTGTGCACACCTAAGCTATTAGATCATTGTAATAATTTTATATCCATTATTTTTTGAAACGTAATTTTTATTAAGTCACTAGGGGACCCGGAAATGATTTGCAATTTTAATGTATTACACTTCTCAGCCCTCTGGTCATGTGCTTGTTAATCACGTTTTACGATACGTTCTTCAAATGTTTTAATAGATGAAACACTTTCT